GAAGTGGGGCAAATGGTCTTATAGTGTAAAGAATGAAATATTCTATATTTGTAAAGTAGTATCACCTCAGATCAAGAATCCCACCCTGCAGCAGGTTGGTGCTCAGGGAGCTTACCAGGGATGGGAGAGGGAGGAGTCGGATTGGCTGGGGATGGAGCTAAGCATTTGGGGCCGGGACTTTATGCTCCTGTCTGCCCGTCTTGGACATGGGAGGCCCTGGCAAAGGAGAGTGGCCATGGGCAAGGTGGCTCTTTTTGGTTAAAGGTAACTTCTGGAGAGGGACTTACCTGGGAATTGTCAGGTGCTGGGATTCCCAGAGGCAAGAGAATGAGGCCCTGAGGCCGAAGGGGGATGGCTGATTATCCACCATGAATGTATACAAAATATATAAGACGAACAGGACAAAGCAAGTGCTGGTGTATTGGAAAATGCCCTGGCTTCAAGATCTACACATCCCAATTCCCAGAACCAGTGACTTCCTTAACTGCCACAGCAGAGGGGACTTTGTACATATGGTTAAGAAGGACACTGAGATAAGGAGGTTGTTCTGGGTCATAGGTCAGGCTCAGTGAAAGCACTGAGGTCTTTATAATAGGAGGCGGGGGCCAGAGAGAGAGGTGCAGTAGCAGGAACCCAGTACACGAGTGCTCACCCAGCCCAGGTAAAGCGCTAAACACTAATAGCCTTTGAGCAGTTCTGTACCCCCCTCTCGATTCATGTCCCTTCTTCCTACCAAGGGAGACCAGAACTCTGAGTACCTTTTTTGTCGTTTCCTCAGTGCTCCTGTATATGTCCAAGGGCACATTGTTATGTGTTTTATCTTTCTCTGAAACTACCTTGCCACTCAGCACTGTTTTTGAGAGTCATTGAGCTGCCTGTGTAAAGCTGTGGCTTATTTGTTCTACTGCTGTTAGTACTCTAGCTTTAGAAGTATACATGTTTAGTCAACCTCCTGTTGATGGACATTATTTTACCTTCTCATACTTGATGTAACCTAGCAAAAGTTCTGAAAGGATAAGGACAAAACTGAGCAAAAGCATTTCAAAGTTCGATGTTCTTTTCTATTTACCTCACCTTTGTGGCAAATGAATCTCTCTCATTTTCATGACCTAATTCCAGTGGCAAATTCCTATGTGGAAGGGATTGTGATGCTAAGCATATATTTTATATTGTTCGGTACCTTGAATAATGCATTGCTTATGCTGGATAATTATGAAAGAACAGTAGCAACCCATTTATGTGCTGTTGCTGTGGGGAGGTTGGGACTTTTTGGTAAACCACGGAAAATCAACTGAGAACAGCTTAAGTAGAAAACATTAAAAAATTCCATATGTGGAAATTTAAATGGGAGTAGTTAGAACTTTCAGGTTAGGTCAGAAAGATGTCCTTAGGACTCTGCCTCCATGGCTCCCATTGTCTCTGCTTTCCTCACACCCAGAAGGGGAGAGCGCAGTGGAAATATGGTTATTATTTGGCCCTGAAGATCTACTTCATCTTGCACATCTTTTTTACAGAAAAAGAGAACATCTCCCTTCCTCCTAGTGCTGATATGTGGAACCTGTGTTGATTGGAAGATATTTTGATTGGCTTTGTTGGAGTTGTCGTGGTCCTGCCTGCTTCAAATATCCTGGAAATTTTAATATAAAAGGCAAGCATCCTCTAAAAGAAAGGACGCTAGGGAAAAAGTAAATCTCTTGCACCACATCATTCAAATCATCTTCCTACATTTAGTGTTTTTAAACAGGTTCCTCCCCTGTTCACGTCCGCTTCTGAAAAACTAGGGACACGTTACAGATTTCATCACCACAGCACCGCCAGGAGGCCTGTACATCTGGAGTAAGTGACAAAAGGGTGAAAGGACGGCGCGAAGTCACCCCACTGATCCTGGCATTGTCCAGCAGCACGAGCAGTGTCCGCGGTGCCGGTGGCCTCGCTGTGGCAGCCGAGTTGCCCTGTGGAGGCCGGACTCCCTCACCAGACCTACTTTTGCTGACAGGTAGCTGTAGTACTGATTGTTATTTCCCCTTCTGGAATGATTTTTGTTGTCCTCCATTTTCCAAGTCTTGCCTTATAATCTTACTTCCTGCTACAGACTGTTTGTTCTCCTCGATTTCATACTTTGAAACCTACCCTCCGTCATGTTGTTTGGTGGTGAAGCTCTTGGGTCACAAGAGTAGAGCCTGATGCACGGAATTAGTGCTTTACAAAAGTCAAGCCCCACTGGGATCCCTCACAGTGAGAAGCTGCCTTGACCAGTGCTCAGGTTTATATCTAGGTGTCTCCCAAGGGCCAGTGTGCTCAGGGGCAGAGTGTTGGAAGGTGACTGGGCCTCGGGCCATGGCTCAAGGTGGTGTTTGAGATGAGGCTGGTTGGAGGCGCGGTCACTCTGGGACATGACCGGTCGTGTGTCCCTTCCTGCTCCTCCCTTTCCTCTCTGCCTAGCGCTGCCATGATGAGAGCAGCTTTCCTCTGTGCCAGGCCCTTCTACCAGGCCACTGGAGATGAAGGACTGGAACTCGGGAAATGTGAGCCAGAACAAAGCCCTCTCTTTTAAGTTGTGTATGTTGGGTATTTGTCCCAGCCGTGAGGAAAGGAACTGAGACAAGCAGGAAGTCAGTGGAGCGTGGGAGTGAGCCACAGAATGTGGGGAGTGTCAACTTGATCTTGGAATTCCCAGACTCCGAACTCGGGGAATTTGATTCGATGGCATTCTGTTACAGCAGCCTGAATAGACTAAGATACTGTGAACTCCTTAAATCTTCCTGGTTTTGTTTTGCTTTATTTTTTTTATTGTGGAAAGAACACAGCACTGAAGTGTGCAATGCAGTGTTGTTATCTATAAACACAATGCTGTAGAACTCTAGAATTTATTCATTTTGCACAATGAGAATTTTAATTAGCAACTCTCAGTTTTCCCCTCCCCCTGGCTCCTGGCAACCACTATTCTATTCTTTGCTTCTAGGAGTTTGACTGTATGTATGTATGTATGTATGTATGTATTTATTTATTTATTTGGTACTGGGGATCGAACTTGTGTCCTTGCATTTGTGAGGCAGGCAGCAGAGCCACTGAGCTACATCCCTGGCCGAGTTTGACTGTTTTAATACCACACGTAAGTGCCGTGACTCGGAATGTGTCCTTCTGTGACCGGCTTATTTCACTTAGCATAATGTTCTCAAAGTTGATACCTGTTGTTGCCTACAACAACAACTTTGTAGGATTTCTTCTTATTTTAAAGCAGAATAATATTTCATTTATCTTTTACTATAATCAAAATTTTAAATGTTCATTGTAAGTTTTGAACACCCCCCCACACCAAACCTTTAAGGCAGTTTCTGTCAGTGTCCTCGTTGACCCTGGTCACCAATCTGGCACCATGTGACCTCTGGCTCTTCCCCAGGGTCAAACTCACCATGAAAGGGAAGCGTTCTGGATTGATTTGGGACACGGAGGTGGCCACAGCAGCACAACTGAAAACACTCATGAAAGAGGCCTCCGGAGCTGCTTCAAAAAGTGGTGAGAAAGATGGGTCAGTTTGAAGTGATTAATGACACTGTATCTTTTACTGCAGTAAACTTTAAACATTTTAAAATGTAATATATTTTTAGGCCACACCTTGTATATGTATGTTTTTAGATACTTTTTAAACTCCATTATCCACTCATGGACATATAGGTTGTTTCCGATCTTGGCTATGGTGGCTATGCTGCCATGGATAGAAGAGTGCTGACATCTCTTTAGTCTTTATGTCACTTCTTTTGGTGAATACTCAGGACTGGGATTACTAGGTTATATGATAATTTTATTTCTAATTTTCTGAGTAATTTCCAGACTATTTTCCATAGCAGATGCATCTTTTTATGTTCTTTCCAAAATTACCCAAGATTTCCAATTTCTTCACGTCCTCATGAGCACTTGTCTTTTATTTTTGGTACTGGGGATTGAACTCAGGACCTTGCACTTGCCAGGCAGGTGCTGTGCCACTGAGCTGCATCCCCAGCCCTTGTTGTCTGTTTTAAACTACCCATTCTACAAGGGTGAGGTGATACATCATCGTGCTTTTGATTTGCTTTTCCCTCGTGCTTAGTGATGTTGAATATCCCTTCATATATTTGTTGGCTGTGTGTGTTTTTTGAGAAACATCTGTCCAAGTCCTTTTCCTATTTTTCAAGCAAGTTTTTAGGATATTTGCTATTAAGTTGTAGAAGTTTCTTGAATGTTTTGGAAATTAACACTTATCATTGGGATTTGGAAAGAGATTGAATTTGTACATTTCTTAGGTAGCATGGACATTTTAATAATAGTAAGTCTTCCAGTTGATGACCATGGGATATCTTTACACTTATATCTTCTTTAATTTCTCTCATCAATGTTTTGTAGTTTTCAGCATACAGTCTTTTAGTTCCCTACTTATATTTGCTCTTATTTTATTATTTTTGATGCTATTGTAAGAGGGACTTTTTCTAATGACCATTTTCTGAGTCAGTGTAGGTGATGTGCTGGTCCTCCAAGTCACATCCTCTTAGTCCAACTCTGATCTCATTTGCTGCATCCTGTGCCGGCGCATGTGAGATATGATTGGAAAATTATCACAGTAAAAGACATATTGCTATGAATCCCCTTCGAAATCCTTCCTCTCACTTCAGACACTCATTGCATTGTTTTCATCACTTTCTGGAGCAGCTGTGGAGTCCTTTTTTCTGTGTTTTAGTTGTGCTGTCATGGCTGCCTCCTTTTTCTGAAACCATTCAAAACGTTTCTCTTTCATCATCATTTTGACTTTATGGAAGAATGTGTCACATGGTGTGAGATTCTGCAAAGGTGGGTGAGGACACACAGTAGTATTTTTCCAAACTTGCCTTTTCATTGCATGGCATGTTGCAGCAGCATTCACCGTAATTTTGATCATGCCTCATAATGACACTCAGGGAACAGAACTTCCAGAACTGCTTCAGAAAGTGATGAGAACAAAAGGATAAGTTTGTTCAAAGCAAGGGGGAGGATTTTGAGAGGGATAAATGGCAGTGTATCTTCTACTATAATACATTTTAAAAATTTAAACATTCACTGTATATGTTGCTCACACCTCATATTCTCTTTACCACATCCCTCAACATGAGTCATTAAAAAAAATAACACTCTCTTTTTTCCCCCATTAAGTTTATTGGTACATTTTAGGTATAAAATACAGTTACATACATCATTGGGATCTTGTACCATTACATGAGTATCTTGGTT